AGTAGCAACCTAAACACACAAAAGAACACACAACGGAGGGACACACTCAAACACCCACCAATCTTTATACCGAAGTAAAAATGTAAAAAAAAAAAGAGTGACTGCGTGAGGCAGACACAATAATAAAGCAAAGATGTAAAAGAAAAAAAGAAATTCATTACTTACTGTGACTGCCATGCCTGGACACAGTCCAATCCACCCCAAGGTGAACAGCGGAAAATCATTGTGTACTGAACATGCTGTACCCATATCTTTATTCTTGATGTCCCTGCAGCAGTTTGTATATAATGAAAGAATCATTCCATAAAAATGAACACACAAGATACACAAGGTGTATGGGAAACGCAAAAGAGAAACACACAGCTGCACACAATGTGCAACGAAATTATAATGAAACACACACAAAGGATAAAACAATAAAATGAAAACAAAACAAAAAGAAAGCCGTAATCACCATGTGAATATGTTCAGGAGGCAAGAACACAATTCACTGCAGTAGGTTTGTGTGCCTTTCGCACAGGGCGAGCAATGGGAATGATGCACACATGATGACAGTCCACACACACACAAGGAGAAGGAGGGTTGGTAGTGTGCGTGTTTGTGTGTCTTGAACCTCCTGCCATTCTTCACATTTCAGTCACAGCAATTACAACACATTGGGATTGTATACCATTCCCATGGGTAAAAGCAATAGTTATCAATATCACGGAACACACACACACCTCACTAGGCGGACACAGTGAATGGCGGCAAATCAGAGCCCAGATAATAATGCCAACAAACAAAGAGGACACTCCCCTCACAAAATGATGGTTTGTCATGTGATGAGTGCCATGGGGAGTCCAATCGATTTGTTCAGCATAAAAAAAAATGCAAACAAGAGATTTATCGAACTGAAAAAGAAAAAAAAAAACATTAAAATCCAATAAAAAGAACAATGCTCTTACAATGCATCCATATCCACTCAAACAAAGGTTAACTGTGCAACTGTGTCATGGGAACACCGATCAGCAAACGAGAGTGCAACCCAAAAAAATAAGAAGAAGAATCAACAATAAGGCACCGTGCACCAATGCAGGTCTGCTGCTGCCATCCTTCTTTTTCTTGGCCTTTTGTGCTGCCTGTTTCGCCGCTTCTTCCTTGGCCTTTCTCTCCAATTCCTGTTTAGCCTTTTCTTCCTCGGTCTTCTTTTTTTCTTCTTTGGCCTTCCTCTCCCTTTCTTCTTTAGCCCTCTTCGCCTCTTCTTCGGCTCTTTTCTCCCTCTCCATTCTTGCCCGTTCTTCAGCCTCTCTCGCCTTTTCCCTGGCCAGACTCTCCCTTTCAATCTTTTCCCTTACCGCGTTTTCTGCAGCCGCCCACTGCGTTTCTATAAGCGAGGCTTCTTCATTCTTCCTTTTCTTCAGCTCATCCCTAACGCCTTGTATGGTCTGTGCAATCGGAACTCCGGGATCAGCCACTTTCACCACCACATTAACCTTTCCCATTTCTTCCGTGCTTGCCTCCGCAACCTCTTTCAATGGGTTTTCATCGGTTTCCCTTTTTTTTGCGCTCTCCTCCTTGAGTTCAGTTACAATTTTCTCGAGATCTTTACGTGCCTCAAGCATTCCTCGTTTGGCGTCAATCGCCTTTTCTTTGGTCGTCGATCTAACTTCATAAACCTCCAAAAGTGCTTTTCCCAAAGATTCCATGAGCTTATAAAGCGCGTCATATCTCTCCCTGCTTCTTTCGACAAGCACCAATCTTTCCTTTTTCTCATCCGTTTCCCGCATGCTACTCAACGCTTCAGAGAAAAAAGGAAACGAGATGTTGAGCTTTTCCGCCTCCGGTTTCATGTTGTCAAAAGCAATGATACAGGCCTTCTTTGTTTGTCTTGTCGTTTGAAGAAATATTGAGGCATTGTCAACTGCTTTTTTTGTTAACCGTAATGCATCACCAGCGACTTTCAACAATGCTTTAAATTCATCAGCCCTACCATTTCCCTTCATAAGTTCCTCCTTTTTCACCTTCATCGACGCGACAGTTTCATCCGCCTTCTTGGCTGCATTACCGGCATTCAAAGAATTTTCACGACACATCTGCATTTCTTCCTCCAACATTTTCAGACATCCCTTTCCCTCGGCATACAATGCATCAGCCTGCCTCAACGACGCATTCAACATATTCGCCGTTGCCTTAATGTTGCCATCTGCATCCTCCTCATCGGTTGCATGCACAACACACACGCAACAATGCAGAAGTACCAACAAGTACACCACACCACGCAGTTGGACGAACATCGTTGTCATTATTGTCAGTGTGAGTTGCTTGGGTCTGGGGTAACAAGAAAAAAGAGGAAAAGGAGAAAAGTAGACGCACACTTAACACACAAGGCAGTGAGTACACAGCAACAAACAGAAAGAGTGAAAGAGAGAGTACACATCACAACAGCAATCAAACACAACCCAATGAGGGGAACAACAGTAAACCACTCACACAATAAAACACACCCAGAGCTACACAGATATTAAAACAACACCTTGAATTTAGAAGAAGTGGAAAACAAATGGTATCAAAACAATATTAAATAAACGTCTCTACACACACTCCAATATCTTACTCGGT